ACATGCACTTATAGCGATTAACAACGGTGCTAGTTTAGTTGGCCTCAGATTCTACGGTATGACGAACCAGTGCCGTCTACGACCTGCGATCAATGGCTAGGCCCTCAGCAGTCGTTGTCTGCTTGAAGTTTCATTCCAGAACACCGAAGACCAACTGCCTAGCAAATCCACAGGCGATCAAAGCGACGGAGTTCAGGGATGACGCAGCAGATGAGTTCTTCTTTGAGTCGACGGGGAGCGTGGCTGTGCCACCCGAGAGGGCATCTTTACATTACTTCACCCATAGGAAGTGTCTCTGTTCGGCGATAGAATTCCACGTCCGAGATATGAGCTGTGAGGCAAAGCCGATCGCGAGGCACCAGTTGCCAAATACCTTGATTTTACTAAGGTAAGCAGCGCACATAAGTCAGAGTTCGCCAGCATGGGGCAGACCGGCTTTGACAAGTGCTCTGATTTTTTCTCTGCTAAACTTTGTGGAGGATGACAGAAACTTTCAGGGTCAGCAGAACATGTTGCGGTAACAAACATTTCTCGTGGTCGTCGAGATAAGAGATTAGCGCCGATCAATTCTGGCTGATAAGTAGTTCTGCCTTTGTGTCTACTGTGTCTTGGCTGAGTATCCAGTCCAAGCAATGATGACTCTAAGCAAAAGGTCGTGACTCGTTAATTCAAGACAACTGCGCTTTTTAACCTTTCAGCAAGTCGGACGTCAGAAAGTTGTCCTGCATTGAAAATCGTGAAGGCAGAATGATTCGGGCGGAGTGAATTAAAAAGCACACCCCTGAGACGTAGGCGCAGTCGCACAGTCATTGCAGCATCCGGCCGGTATCTACTTTTGATGACCTGCGACTGCACTTGCCCGTGAGACTGCCGTAGACCCGCCACCTTAATACCACGCCGACGAGTGGCTTATAATGCGGTAAAGCCTGGTTTTAGCCACAACCGGCGGATGCTACCGTCACGCCGATTCACGATGGCAGAGGTGCCTGGTCGTTAGAGCAGTCCTGCCGATGCGCGCGCGCATTTCAGTGTCCCACAGTGATTTTGGCTTCAGTAGGTAAAATAACGAGCACTGCGTCTGCAATTCGTAGTAGAAAGTTCATTTTTCAAATTGTCTGAGTTCAGCTTGGCGACATAGACAACAATTACACGCATTTGAGTAATTATGCCACTAAGTCGCACACGACCCTACGCCACGAGCGGTCGGTTCGCTTTCTGATGAAAAGGAAATACATTTTTATGCCTATTGGAGGTATAAAAGCTCAGTTTTTCAGAAATGGCGGAAAGTACTTTATCTAAGAATGCCGCAACAGGCGCAGATTACCGAACTCCCGATAGACTGGATTAGAGAAGATGCGTATAGCCGGGGATTTTGTGTAACTCCTTGCAGACAAATGTCCCGGTTGAGAACAGGAAGCTCCTCACTTTATAGAGGAATGCAGCTTTGCATAGCTGACAACGGGCCCACCCAACGCATCCAAACCGGCAAACGCCACAGGATGAGTTGAGTTTTACAAATCATAAGCTTTCATAGAAACCAGAGGTTAGTGCATACAATAAGTCTTGTTCAACCTGAAGATGAAGCTCCGGTGTGCAGAACAAGCACAACGGAGAAAATTTCACTTGGTAGCGGGCAACATTAGACCTTTTCAGAGGAGAACTATTCGTCAAGATTGAGAGTAGTACTGCTGTCTGGTTCGATGCGAATTATTCCTGAGACACAGGTATTTCATTTGCTCACGGCAGGCCTCTGCGCAGATTAACAGACGGGTCCTGTCCTCTCAAACTCGACAGAAGCACGCTAATACTATTCGAGGCAAGTGGGTGTTTTATCTGTACGCTACATACAAGAATCTAATAAATCCAGTTGGAAAAAAAGGGAACCAGAGCATACAAGGCAGAAATGTAGCCGGTAACATTACCCACCGCCTCCTTCTCTGCTTCTAGGGATTCAACCGCCGGCTTAGTTTCTCGCCAAAACTGCTGAACGTAGAGTCGTTCAGACGCAGTTTCCTCCTCCACTTTACGGTGGGCGTCCTCTAGGGCCTGCAGATTACCAAAAATGTCCGCCTGACGTTGGCTGAAAGAACTGCTGGAGCCCTGCAAGGCGAAGCCGCCAATCGGAGATTCGCTACTCTCTGACATCTGAAAACGAAAAGTGACTTGACAGCAAAAAGAATGGTGGTTAAAAAGGAAAGGCGCCGAGCAAAGATAGATAACCTGACGGAATAAGGTGGAATCTTCGTCGGGTTAATAGTGGAATAAAAACGCAAAGAAGGTGTTGCTGAGACAAGGTGAATGAGTAAAAGCTGGCAATGAGACCGCCAACAGATGTTGTTAACTTCTGTCTCTCCTACAGAGCTGGAGTTGGGCAGAAAGTGGAGTGACCATTATCGGCGGTCGTGGGTTATAAGACATGACAAGGATTAGCTGTTAAACTCGGGATCTAATAACCAAATGCTGGGCAGGACTTAAACTGACAAAAATAGCAGGCCAACGCCTGCTACTGCGACTATACCGTTAAGCCAAACACAGTTATCGTTTTAACTTCTCGTCCACTCTATTAGCCTGGTTTGGCATCTAATTGATGGCATTGTGATGGACTTGTTAAGACTAATACCACTATAGGTCGGGGCTATTCTGTTTCAAGTGTCAGACGGGGGTGATATGTGCCTAACTCTACGGAACATCCATTTTTTAAATAAGGTTTGTAGAGTTTTCCGCCTGACTTAGGCATTCGCTTTGATGAGTTTATTTACTAAAGTCAGAGTTGGGCCAACAAGGAGGACGTAGTTAAGTGCATAGCGCGGCAAAATAAAAACTTTCACTGGGACATGGGGTCGTCTAACTAATTTGAATGGGAAACTTAGGACGACCCACATATCAAACTACATAGCTAATAACAATGCTGGGGTAGTCGTTCACAGTTTGACCGTACTTCATAAGCCGACAAGTCCAAGCAAACGGACCGATAAGTCGACTAAGTCCGAGATAAAACTTCCACTCGAAAGTCAAGTACGAAATGAATTGTCTGACTGTTGTCATGCGTTGACTCATGGTAATTTTCAGGCCGCACTTTGACTGCGAGCGTCCACAATATATCGTCTACCGTTGACCGGCATTGCAGTGAAAAATCTAAGTAGGTATGAGTATAGAATGTCTGGTCCTCCAGCCTCGTTGAGGTTTACGATGAGCAAAGCTAAGAAAAACTCATGAAGCTTTCAAATCCTGTGTGGTGAGGATGGTCCTACGAGGAAGCGTGCGAGTCTAGTATCCAAACCGAGCACAGGCCTGTTCCACTAATGGGTAAGGAGTCAAGGACACGAAGAGAAGGCGATGCAACGAGTGACGACAGAAAAAAGCGCACAATGACACCTAGGGCAAATAGAGAGATGAAACTGGCGGAACATAAATCAACTACCTGTTCGATTTAGACGGTGACAAAAACACAATGGGGCGGGAACTAACCAAAAAGGGGGTGAAGGTGGGCAAGCAGCTCAAAAAGGGTTGGCTACGAAGAACTTGGTTCTGGAGCTTCATAAAAATTGTGGAGAGTGATGATAGTTTTAGGTAGGAGGGATAACTAGACTATCCATTTAGAAAACTGTTTCAGAGACAAAAACTTGGGCATGAGTTTGACTGATTAAGTTCGACTGAATCGGTCGGCTGCACTACGTATGTCTCATTACATTTCCGAAGTATAATTACTGTGGCATCTGATGCAGTTGAAGCAGTTCTGAAATGAATTCCCGAATTAACAGCTGTGTCCGTGTGCAGACCCGAATTTCCGGCCTTTGGCATCCGATGATCCTTTCTGTGTCTGTAAGCTATATCCCGGGAAGTTTTTTACGGCAAAAATGTCCTGTAGTCTGTCGTTTTATCTTAAAGCAGAAGCTGCGGAGCGACGTAAAACTATGGCGAGCAAAATAGCAGGAGTAATAGTCATATTATTCCTAAGTTACAGCTTCCATATCAGGGCAGTTTTCAAAATCAATGGGCGCACTAGACGACGGACGCCGTACGTAGAACCCGGCTGGTGGAGCGGTTAAGGCGGTAATCTTTAGCAATACGATAGTGGCGAAAGTTTATACATGGTCGTGTATAAACTCGAGCTTTGTCAGGTGCACAATTAAATGTGGTCAGCACTGATCACTAATTAGTCAACGTATCAAATGGACTTCCTGTATAAATTTGTCCAGGATTAGGAAAGTCAGGTAACACCTTGTAGGAGATAACAGAAATACAAGATGACAAAAAATACAAGTTTGGAGAAGGTTTAAATGACGAACTCTCAATTTGAATCTTACTGTCAAACGGGACGCGGCCAAACACACAAGCACCAAAGGTCTCACCGGAAAGCCAGAATACCGGTAGCAAACGGGTAGGTTTACGTTGCTCACGTTTATCAGTGGCTTCAACTTGTCAGAGGATCGGCTGGATATCCGAGGTTGCGTTAAATGGCCATACATAGAAAACGATGAAGTACAAAATCAGTAGTTTAAATAATAAAGGAAGAATTCGAACGGTACTCAAATGGGTCAAAGCATCGAACAGCGTCCAACAGGGACATAGTGGAAGCCAACGTTTTCTGGATTGGAGAATTCGCTTTATTTTGAAATAACCATCCCAGAATTTCCGGTAAAAACTCTTATTTCACCGCTGCCCGAATAAAAGTTAATTTATAATTGACATATTGGTTTACACAAAACTGTAACAATATTACATGGACATTTTTGATCTCATTTTCCGTATTACCAACTTTCACGTAGAGTATCGTGACAAAGTTAAGTCGACGTACGACAAGGGCTATGCCGGTAGTTACTGTCCATGTCGTGTAAGGGTCTTACAGTAGTCAGTTAAGGGTGGGGGGTAGTGGACAACATCATCCAGAACTCAACTGACAAATGGATTGACCGTAGTGAAATGTCGTTGTGAAAAGGTACCAAATAAGAGACACAAACTAAATGCAAGTGGCAGGCCTCCATACATTTCTGATTTCTGTTTTCACTTTCTATTCCTAATATAAACCTTTCTCCACTAAGCACACTTGCGATTTTATACGTCCGATTCAATCACATTTGCATGAATTCTGCCGGACAACCACTTCCTTTGCGTGGGCAAATGCACATCATGACATCGACTGACTGTCGCACTCGACCGCTGACTGTCACTCACTTCTCCGATATTTCAGTGGAAACCATTGTCGTGGTCTGCCTATATGTCACTGGAGTCCCAACATTTCTGTGATAGTTACCATTACCACTGACCGCGAAAGCCATTTTCAATCATCTCTCTGCAATCGGCGCATCAACCTGTTGTGGGAAGCGCATATACAAATCCTAGCATATTACTCTGCCCTGTGTGGCCTCACGGAGTGTCTACACTGTCAAGTCAAACATCACAGATGTTTCACCCACACTCAACCTCTTGGAATGGTAGCTTCCATCTTGTGTTATTGGCTTTTCGATCTTCTCCCAGAGGACACATTCTATGCACCAGTGCCTTACTCTTGCGCGATCTACCACCTCACCAGGACTCCAAATACTCATGCACACCAGTCGAGACAACGCATGGTTTAATTTCGTCCAACCGCCACTAGCCCAGCTTCCAAATCCGTGTTTGTGCACTAAAACCCTATATATGTTTTGGTCGTTTTCGTTCGGCGGGACGCAGTTTGAAAACACTTACGATCTCACGTACAAAGTTTTCGAACGGATAGACAGTTGTCAGTTCCTTCAAAAGACCGCAAAGACTAGCACGGTCCCAGACAGACTAAAATCCAGTCTTTGCTAAATGCATTCCATCGTCCGTTGTGCCATTAGATTGCCTAACGTCGGCATCACACGATTCACCCGTCTCAGTCCCCTCCATTCAATTAACAAACACTACCGCTCAATCCACTCAACACAATTCACCTTTCCTATCACTACGCATTTCGATTCGTTCTGGAAGATACATCTATTTTTTTGCCCAAACTCAGAGCCTTTGTGGTACAAACTCTTGCTACTGCATTGGTATTCCTTGTATACAACAAACGCTCTGTTGGGAGGTTTGTGTAGGTCCGTGCGTATTCAAATTCTGTAACTTCCTTTTGCACGGCAAGGAAGGGCGTGTAGCGGACCCAGAACCACGCCTTGCGGTGCGCCACAAGTGATCAAGTGAGGTGTCTAGTAGCTGCTACCAACCATGACTTTCTGATAGTGGTTGGATAGGCAGGACTCGAAAAAGTCGAGTAGGGGAGGGCGAATGTCGAGAGCTTACAATTTTACCAAAAGTTGGCTTTGCTAAAATCAAAGTAGACAACTATTACTAACAGCTGTTCACTAAGAAAAGCAGTGATTGGATTAAGGAAGGCTGAAAGGCAGGTTAGTAAAATCCTTCAGGTAAAAATTCATGCTGAATAGAATTAAGATGCTGTTTAGTTAGATATATAATCGCGCATACATGAACATAAGCTGGTTGTGCGGTGAGGCGACGCATTATCACAAGTGGCCGCCCACACCTACGAAACGGGTCACGAGTTTAACTTCGCAGCCACCAAAATAGTCACCCACGCCGGAAACAATACAGGCCGAGAACTAATTGGAGCATGGGCCTCGGATGAGAACTCGGTCAATCGAATTATCGATCTGGCGCCGGCGTACAGAGCCCTGCGTAGTCAACTACAGTCGTGCGACGTCGGTCGATGATTGGGTCTACGTGCCTTAAAACTGCCGCTTGTCCTGTTTCTGTCACTTCCTCTGACGATGGACTCCTGTACGAGTCTGAAAGCTCAGGATAATAAACGAAATGTTCCGGTGCTCGACTCTTCTTCTTCACTTATAGATAGATATATATCAAGAATTTTATTGAACATAATCTTTCAAGGAGTGTTATAAGAAACGAGGTTTTTGTACGTCCCGATAGCTATTGACGTCAAATCTGGCGTCCGCTGGTTGTCGTGTAGCGGCCGAGGACGTCTAGGATGGCACACACAGAGTCATCCTGGCTAGGCCAATCTGGTTGGAGTCGTTAACACGTCTCAGTACCCGTCCATACAAAAGTGAAGAAATGTTAGATAGGAATAGAAGTATAAGGGAAGAGGTGAGAACTGGGAATATATATAATACTAATTAATTGCACAAACGGGGTGGGAAACAACAAGGGGATGATCTATCTGGATGGTGAGGTACACTGACATGCCTGATGAACAACTGGAGGGAAGCGCAGAACCGTGAGCAACTGCAGGGAGGGCCGAGAAATGTGCCGGCGTAGAGGGAGAGAGAGAGAGAGGAGAACGTTACGGCAAGTTGCAGGGAGGGGATCGGGGAAGAAAAAAGGAGGGGCACCGGCCATTTTATCCGACACGCAGCTACATACTCATCATCCTAGGTCTGCACGGAAAATGTCATCTCAGTCAATCATTTCTATAGAGTTCGTGGGGCGTTTCGGCCGATCGTCAGTTTATTTGGGCAGTTACTTAGGGCTGGTCGAATCGTTCGTTTGTATCTCCCAGAAGGTTTATCACATTTGCCTGGATTAGCATCTGAAAAGGAGGAATATAAACCAGGAGCACGACACATTCAGTGGTAAGTCACAATCAAAGATATCAAAGCAGTGTTAAATCAGGTTGCATATTGCTACTGATATGATGACATTATAGGGATATTGGTCGACTGCTTTTTGTGACCTAGTATAGTTCATATAGGTTTAACGTGGTCTCAATATAGCCATGCGGTCAACTAATATGTGGGTCCTTATTGAAAGGAATGTCAATATTAGCTGCTCAAAGGTTTTAGTGCATGGAGGGTGTGCTGATGGAAACAGGAAGTGAAGAAATGAATGGACATCTCTATTTGATCTATGATTACTAATCAATATGTCCATTTTAAATGCAGTTGCTTTTAAGGTTTCCGTTCTATTATTATTGAAGTGGCTATCATCATCAGAGCCCCTTCGTACCAAATCTTACATCAAAGAATGGACTTGAAAAATGTCCTGTCTTATTCAAACACAAACGTCTATTGTTATTTGAGGAGAATTTCTTAGTTTTAATATCAAATTCGGTTGGGTTTTGACTATTTCTGATCGAACTTGAGATGGCATTCCAGAACGCTGCATCTCATTCGCCTACAGAATAGTAGGAGCTAACTGAGTCCTAATACCGTCCACCAGTTATATTGCCTGTCGTCACATTTTTAATTTTAGTGATTTCGTAGAAAAATTCGCCATCGCCCTTTCCCATCCTTTCTTCTTCGTCATTAATCGTTCGTTTGACATAAAATCCTCCAAAGACCTAAGTTTCTTCTTGAGCAATTATGTATACCGTTTTGGTTATTGTTTACCCTACGTAGTGTGACTGGCATGATTGAGGGTTGTCGCAAATTTCGAAAATTAATGAATATATTCAGTTGTCTGCAAGACGATATGTAGATACAAAAATTAAGTTAGACAACAAGTTTATTACCCCCGACTTCTGAAATAATGGAAGAAATTTTTGATTTCCGGAAATCTTCGTCTTACAGACTGCTTTACTCTCTCTAAAAAGCTGTCTTGCCCTTTCAGTCACTGCGTCTTTCGAAAAAAGGTCATTCGATACGTGATAACGACCTTCCGCTCGCATATCACAATTGAAAATCGTACGACTAAAATTTGTTTTAAATCTTGTACCACGTCAAATTTCACCTTCTTGAGATTTCGGACTACTTCATGTAATCGCAGACTTCTAGAGTTAAAGATTGGATTCGCCCACAAACATCTTAGCACTCGCGAATTTGCAGCAGAGCCTTCCCACCATTTTTGCGGCAATGGCTGTAGGAGACTCACCAAACCTACGAACGAATGAGTCGTTTTGTAGTTCCAAATCCAAAGACAAGTGGACGATATTACTTAAAACGATTTTTAGAGGCATAAAGACTTTAGGCCTTGTTGTTTTTAAATAAAGTCCTGTAAATACAGATATGTTCTTTTAGAATTACCGGTTGGAATTTCAGTTTTAGTCTTGCTAGTTTGTATCAGTTGACTATCCACATCTCGTGCATTCGAACTGTCTTCAGCGGCGTGAATTTATTACGCCGTTAACCTGTCGCTGAGATTTACTCATCAGATTTGTCATAACTTTAATTAATTATAAATTCCCTCAAGGTAAGATGAGGGCAAAAGTTAAAAGTCGGCAACAGTCCTCAGCATCGGTACCTAGGCGTTGCTTACTCAAATTAGGATCGGAAAACACTAATGACCAGTCGTCGCCCATCGTTGATGGTGGGCAGCTTGAATTTCCTGCTCTTTAAAATCGTAACCATTTTATGCTCTCACGCGAAGAAAGCCCTTGTCCTAGCGGTCGCTTCTACTTCTTATCAACTGTGCTCTCAATTCTGGGAAAAACGCTCGATGATGTTCCCTCCCAGTACTGCAAATGTCCTGACCCACTCGTCCACTTATTTGCCAGTGATTCAGGTGATAAGCAAAAAAATGTATAACTTGTTGATGA